GAGAGAGAGAGAGAGAGAGAGAGAGAGAGAGAGAGAGACAAGAGGATGGTTCGGAGAAAAAACTAATCACACCGAGTATACAGGCACGGCGGTCGGCACCGAGGGCCACACGGGCCGGCACACGGCCGACGACTACTTTCACATCCTTACGGGCACGCAGACGGCGTACGTGCCGGGCGAGTACGAGCCCGAGGTGTACCCGCCGGGCAGCGTGCACCACCTGCGCCGCGGGCAGGTCAAGCAGTACAAGATGCCCGAGAGCTGCTTCGCCATGGAGTACGCCCGCGGCTGGATCCCGCCCATGCTGTTCTTTGGCTTCGCCGACGGGCTCTCCAGCACGCTCGATTTCCCGACGCTGTGGCGGACGACGTACATCACCGGCAAGCTGACGATTGCGCAGCTTCTCCGCGGCAAGTTTTGAGGGGCCGGGGGAATTGGGCTCTGTACCCCTGACAAGATGGAAAAGTTTCAGTGATTCATTGGGTTCATTGGGAATGTAAAAAGAATAATGGGAGAAGATTTGGGGGGGGGGGGTTCTGGTGGGAAAATGGGGCTGGGATGCAGGAATGTCGACGAATCTTTATGTAATAATAGCCGCGATTGGCTCTCTGAAATCTGTGGGATTTGGACATTTTTATTCGTGTCGGGTCCGACACTGTTTAGACTACTAATCTAATAGACGCAGGTTTTCTTGCGGCCGAGTCGTCTTGGCAATGTGCTCTCGACCGTGCCGATGGGCTTCCTTGGCTTCCACATGGCCATGTCTTGGCCTTTTTCTTTCCCTGCCCGACTGCAAATCCCGACTTTTTTGCATCAGGCCTTTTGACTGGCTTGGCTCGTTGCAAGCTCTCGCAGTCTGACAATAAAGTCAGCAACTTTGGAGCCACCGACTCTTGGCACGAAGCGAAGTCGTTGGGACGATGCGCTTTTTGGCTCAATCGCGGAGCACGCCACGTTCTTCTTTCATCGCGCAAGATGCCTCCCCGGCCCACGAGCTCTGCTCGCAACTCTCTCTCTCTCTCTCTCTCTGTGTGTGTGTGTGCGTGTGTGTGTGTCGCAACTTGGTGCACATGGTCGAGGGGCGTGGCTGACCTGCGGCCGTCGCCAACACTGGCTTACGCCTTAGTTGCTTGGAGGTTGTTACAAATCGGGAAGGACATTACCCATGATGATCAGCCTTCTTACGACTCCACAGATTGTGCACCAACGGACGCCTCCTGCTCGGGATTGTGGTTACTTTGGGCTTATGTGGCGGCAGAAAGGAGCTTATCCCAAACTTGACATAACATCGCCGCAGTAGATTGCAGAATGTGCATGTTTTATTGATGCACGGTTCTTTTTAGTGTTGATCTCGACTATTTATGGGCAGTTGCCAATGAATACCTACCATCAGCGCCATCCATTCTCAGCGGTAGCCTCAACGAGTACCGCAGTCGATAACGCAAATCACAGGCGCTCGCTACATGAGCTTGCAATCGAGAAACACAACTCTTCTAGACCTCGTACCGCTAATGGCACATGTACCAGCCTCTTCCGTCCTTGGGCTTTGATAAACGCCCTCTTCAAATTGCCTCGTGGCGGGTATTTAGAACGGCCGCCCTTGGCCTTTTCCCAGCAGCCACATGTTTAAATACAGAGTGTGTGTCATGTTATGGCATTTCACGATGGTCTTCTCTTTCGCTGCCTCCAGCGCGCCCGCCCCTGCTAGCGCAAAGTTAAAAGCAACGTCAAAGATTGCGTTTTTGCTCGCCTATCTACAGATGGGGCATTATAGTCATTTATTCGCGCGGGGGGTTTTTTTTTTTTCTTTTTCTCAAAACGACATCTTGTCTTCTTATATTTGCCTCACATATCTCTGTACTGCTTGAGGCTGGACAAATTTGCTGCTGCTGATGTACTTGCCAGGAGTCAGCACCCTCCTTCCCATGTTGCAATGTGAAAAGCCACTTTATGTCGGCAAGCCGGTCACGCGCAAGATTGTGCAAAAGTTCCGCCATTTGCCTCCGGCAGACCCCAGGCTCCGCTGCCTCGATATGATATCGACCTACGCCCGCCAGCCAGTTAATTAGGCCCCGAGTCTTCGTACCAGTAAAGTTGAGTTTGCCCTCGACCCCTGTTGTGCCCCAGCCTTGGCGTAGATGTTCTGGAAAGGTTGGCCTTCAATATCACCATGTCATGATCAGCGGTAAGGACTCTCGGCCTCGTCTTTTCCTTCAGCTTGGCCAACGCGTACGGATACAGCGCTGAACGTAGAAACCGGCTGTACCGTTAGGAAGGCTCCCTCTTGGCCATGGCAGCATTCCACAGAAACTTGATGCTGCAGTACGGAATAGCATGATGCTCTGGACCAGAGAGATAATTCATTATCAGTCTCTGAGTCTTTTTACATCGATACTCTTGCAGAGAAAAGTCGTGTATGACACGGATAGCGTCACCGCTGATAACTAGTTCGTCCACCCCCGGCTGGCTTATTATGAGCAAGGGCCCTCACTCTCTGGCGTGACAGCGCACAACGGGCAAGCCGCTGACAGGTTCTTTCAGAGTGCTCTACTGATATTGTCACTTTCGGTCCCCAATTTCACGGTGTCTGCCCGGCGTGGGCCCTTGTTTCGGAAGGAAGGAGCAGCTGCAATGTCCATGGGCAGGCTCTTCCCCGCATTCATATAAGACAACTTGCGCCCGTAGACCGTGCTTTTCTTTAACACTTCTTCCAGGCGATCGACCTTTAATGTTACTTGTCCAAAGTGAGAGCCCGTCTCATCTCAGATAACCTCAACCACAAACTACTACAATGCCGGCTGGTGACACCGCCGACCCCATTGTGGGCGCTGAGCTCCGTGCTCAGGCGCAAGACGAGCGCAAAAATTCAGTCATCATCGCCGCTGAAATGGACGAAGCCAATGCTGACCGGCAGGGTTCTGGTGATGCCCTCGACCAAGACCTTCCCACGCCCACCACCGAAGAGCTGGTGACTCTACGCCGCGTTCCCAACAAGATCCCCGTCAGGCTCTACACCATTGCCTTCATTGAGCTCTGCGAGCGCTTCTCCTACTATGGTTCCACCGTCGTCTGTAGGTCCAGTCATCTGCCATACATGAGTGTCACAGTAAAGTTGGCTGACTTGCACGCACAGTCACCAACTTCATCCAGCAGGCCCTTCCGCCCGGCTCCAACACCGGCGCGTCCCTCGACCAGCCTGGTGCTCTGGGCATGGGTCAGCGCGCGTCGACCGGCATCACCACATTCAACCAGTTCTGGCAGTACTTTATGCCTCTGCTCGGCGCCTGGGTGGCTGACGAGCACTGGGGCCGCTACAAGACCATCAGCTACGCCCTCGGTGCTGACCTGTTTGGTCACTGCATCCTGATTCTCGCTGCCATCCCGCCCATCATTGTCAACCGCTCCGCGTCGCTCGCCTGCCTGATCCTTGCCATCCTGACCATTGGCTTTGGCACCGGCGGCTTCAAGCCCAATGTTTCCTGCCTCATTATCGAGCAGCTGGGCGAGCAGCGGCTCTTTGTCAAGACCCTCCCGAAAACCGGCGAGCGCGTCATTGTCGATCCTGCTGTTACGACGGAAAAGATTTACATGTGGTTCTACTTCTTCATCAATGTTGGCGCCCTCGTGGGCCAAATCACCATGGTCTACGCTGAGCAGCACGTCGGCTTCTACCTTTCATTTACGCTGCCCACCATCATGCTCGCTATATGTCCGGCCGTCATGTTTTGGGGTCGCAAGCGCTATGTGTCCCGCCCCCCGGACGGCTCCGTGCTCGTTCCCGCGCTCAGAACGTTTGCTCTGGCACAGCGTGGTCGCTGGTCTATCAATCCCGTGGCGACTTGGCGCAGTATGCACGACGGCACATTTTGGGAAGCGGTCAAACCGTCGAGGTATACCGTGGAGAATCGTCCCAAGTGGATGACGTTTGACGATGCGTGGGTGGATGAGCTGCGTCGTGGATTCAGTGCATGCGCCGTCTTCTGCTGGTATCCCATTTACTACCTCTGCTACAACCAAAGTGAGTCCTTGTTTCTTCGTTTAGCTCTGCTGATTTCCCTCTGAGAATCCTTTTCTGTGCTTGCACTTTGAGAATGATAATCTAACACGAACAGTCAACAACAACCTCGTCTCGCAAGCTGCCGTCCTCCAGCGCCACGGCGTCCCCAACGACATTCTCTCCAACCTCAACCCTTTTGCCTTGCTCATCTTTATTCCCCTCAACAATTTTTTCATCTATCCTGCCCTGCGCAAAGCTGGCGTCCGCATCACCCCAATTCGGAAAATCACCGCCGGCTTTTTCGTCGGTGCCGCCGCCATGATTTGGGCCGCTGTCGTGCAGCACTACATCTACAAGCGCTCCGTCTGTGGTAACATGGCCTCCAAGACAATGACCGACCCCGACACCGGCAGGACCGTTAAATGCCCGCCAGTTGACATCAACGTCTGGTCACAGACAGGTGCCTACGTGCTCGTCGCCCTCTCCGAGGTTTTTGCCTCGATTACCTCGCTCGAGTATGCCTACTCCAAGGCCCCCAAAAACATGCGGAGCATGGTTCAGGCCATCGCGCTCTTCACGCTCGCATTCGCGTCTGCCATTGGTCAGGCGTTCACCGGCCTGTCGACTGATCCCCTGCTGGTATGGAACTACTCCATCGTCGCCATCCTGGCTGTTATTGCCGGTACCTGCTTCTACTTTCAGTTCAGGGACTTGGATATTCACGAAGACGAGCTCAATGAACTCCCCGAGGGCCAGATTTTCAAGAGGGATAGCGACGACAAGACTGTGCACATGGATGAGAAGAGCGCCATCTAGGCAACCAATGGCTCGTGCCTTTTGCTCATCAGCAAACAACAGGAAAGAGGGGGCTGTCTGTCAATGAGGTTCGAGAAACTGGTAGGACGTAATGCTACTTTGTACGCGTAAGCTCATTGCTCTGATATCAATCATCAATGGGACCGTTATTGCTATTCATTGTAGTTGACAATAATTCAAGCTGACCAACATGTGTTATGTGTGCCATGAATTTATTCTTGAATCTACTTTCTTGTAGCTCCGGTATCTAGCCACGGCTAACCCTAACTTCCTGCGCGTCGCCTCTGCGTGCAATTCCTTGAGTGATTAAGATCTCTCATATTTTCCCGCTTTTCTTATAGACAGGACGCGCGTGCGTCGTTTTTTTTAAAGAAAAATAAATAGGCTCCAACACCCAATCCATGTTTTGTCCCATTCCCAAAACTCCGGAAAAAAAAAGTTCATCAGCTTCTTTTCAAACATCATCATACTTTGTAATAATCAAAGCGTTCCTTTCCCCCCCTCATACAGGATAGACTACGCTAGCCATTGCTCCTCGTCTCGCTTCAAACCTCGCATCACGAGGCCATCTTCTTCGTCGTCGGTATCGAAATCATCGTTTTCGTCATTCAGCCGCAGCTGTTCAACTGATACGGTAGCGTACTGCAACTTTTCGTCACCGCCATCCGTTTCATCATCTTCCAGCATCCATGTTAGGCCGTTTGCTTCTTCCTCAAGAGGAAACATCTCGCGAGCATATTCCTCAAGGCCACGGGGGCCTTCCCATAGCTCCAGAGCCTCGGCAGGGCAGTTGGCCTCGAGTCTGGCACAGCCAAAGTAGGGGGGCTGCTTCTTGGGATCTTTTTCGTCGGGACTAAAGAGCTTCTCTAAAGCTTCCAGCTGCTCTCTATAGCCTGCTGGAATGCGAACTTTGAGGTCAATAGGGCCGCGAACATAGCGAACAGGGCGACCAACACCGCGAGAAAAGAGCTCACAAGCTTCCTTGGGTGTCAGATACTCGTAAGAGAGGGCGATGCGCTCATTCCGCCATTTGGAAACGCCGTCTTTGAAGAGCTGCAAGATCGCGGGGCCAACGTCGTGCTCAGCATCGAGCCAAGGTAGCTTCGCATCTTCGTGGAAGGGCGCTTGCCATACAAATGAGCCGTCGTCTTGAATTTCGGTGCAGAAAAGCGGGTAGGGTAGTGAAGTGAAATTATTATTGTAGATGCCAGTGTAGACGAAGGTCGCAGGAAGGTCGAGCTGGCGGACATATTCCTCAACCTTGTGCTTGGGTGCCCAGAGGGGTAGAGAGGGCCAATTCTTGTTATAGGCGGCGTGATCGGGCATGGACGAGTAAATGTAGTGTTGGATACCAGCCTTCTTTGCAGCGTCAGCGAGAGCCTTGCCAATAGCAAGCTCGTCACCATAGAATGTCGTGTTGATAAAGGCGAGCTGGACGCCGCGGAAGAGATTGTTGATGAGGTCGTGGTTTACACCAACACCGGAGAGGGGTCCGTTTTGGGTGACATCCTTGTTGGCTTCTGTGGGTTGGTGTCTGGTGTAGAGCTCGCCAACAATGCAAGTGACGTTCGGATTCGTCGCGACTTCTGTAGCAATCACGCCTTCCTTATTGCGTAGTTGGGCCCGAACATGGTAGCCGACGGCGGTTGCGACGCGAATTAGCGAAGCCGCTTGGCGGCCGCTGGCGTTTATAACGGCGATGGTCTTGTCTGGGGAAGACATGAAGCGCTTGGGGGGGCGAAAGGTGAGAGAGTTGTTTCTGGAGCCAGCTAGAGGAGAAGATTCGGAGTAAGATGATCTCGAGTGCTTGTGTTGTTTGCGGAAATAGGGAGGCTGCTCTGTCGTGTTGATGCGAATGGGAATGCTGGCCGACACGGGATTTATTTGAGTGGGCATTGTCACAATGGGTGCCCAAAGAGGTAGTACAAGGTCAAACCGACAAGGTGAGGAAGTGGACTGGTTGAGATTGAGGGGTTGCGAAACAAGCCGTGCAGCGCACGCCGGCAAGAAACAGAAGCCAGGGAGGTGAAAAGAGGTGAGAGACGGGCTGACGAGCGCAGAGAGAGCGACGCAAGAAGAGAGGGAGCGCGCGATCTGCCAACGGCTCGAGCTGGTGGGGTTTCCAGAAGTGCAACCAGGGCTCGCGTCTCAGGCCATGTGCCGACTGAAGAGAGCAAGGACAAGAGTAACGGGGGAGAATTGAGAAGAAAGTACGTAAAAAAAAAAGCTGTACGACAGTGGGCCAGTCGCACTCGGGGGCGAGCAGATCCAGACCAGCGACTGTAGCTGAGTCGCTGATGACCTGGCAAAGCGGAAAGAATGGCTGGCGGCAAGACGCGGGTCTGCAAAACGAGGATTTCTATTCGAGCTAGACGAGGAGAGAATAGCGGGCTGCAGGTCCAGCAGGTGATGTCTTGCGGAGGTGTAAAGTCTGGATTAGTGTTGGCGGGGCAAGAAAGTGGACAATATGCGCGACGGGTAAAAGAACGAGGACTCGAAAAAGAGGCCAGACTGTCCTGGGCCAACCGCGTTGCGAATCGAGGCAGAAGGATGGCGTGGTATAAAATTCGGTTTGATCGCAGCAGGTGGACAATGAGCAAAGACCGGTTGCGTGCTCCGGGCTGTCGCTGCACAATGGGTTTTAGGTCGAAGCGCGATTGACCTTGAGGGCACGCGGACAACTTGATTCGGAATGGGACGGAGATTGAGAGCGATACCGGGGGGTATCTATTGTCGTCGATGAAGTCGTGTTACAAGGGCCGCTTTCGAAAGACGCAAACAAGAAGAACAAGAATTGTACAGAGTTGATGGTAGTTGTAAGAGAAAGAAACCGGTGACGAGCAGATTCGATAATCAACAAGGCAACAATTCAAGACGGAGCTGGGGTTCCGCGAGAGCGGTGCATATGATGAAAATGCTTATCGGCGATGGCGGGGAGGCACAGCTGATAAGCAAAACCTTGTCCGAGTTGCGCTGATCCTTGGGTTTTTGGGCGGGCGGGTGCGGGCGGGTTTGGAAAATATGAGATGATGTGTGGCGATTGATCAGTTGCTTTTGTTTCTGCGATGTTTGACGGGAGTTGCAAAAGATGTGAATATGTATGTAGCTCATTTGTATGGAAAACCCCAACAAATCCAGGAAGGAGCGACTGATGGACGCAAACGCAGCCTCAATGGCTAAGTAGCTGCCAACTGCCAGACACATATCTTACTAAACCACTTGATCTACTGATACGGCCAACCACGCCAGAGCATCCGTACAGTAAGCCGCTATCGACATAGATAACATTGTCGGCATCTTCCCTCAACGTCTTCACATTGGACGAACACTACTCTACGATATGCTTTTTGAAACCGGCAGGTTCGCCGCCACAATCACGACAGTTACATGCCCTCCGACACCACATTCCCCCTGTGCAATGGGGACCAACTCACCGGCGCCACTTTGTCAAAGGTGCGCGCGTGAGCCGACACAAATTTTTTTTTCATGCTCCAGCGACCGAGTCTGATTAGACTGGAGCCCTGTTGGGGCTACCGTTATCAGTTCGGCAAGCTACATAGCCCTGCCAGAATGAGGGGACGGGCGCCGCGGAGACGGGGTCCGACAGATGGCCCTACTCAGTACAAAAATACGCCGAGCACCCCCGTCCTTGCTGGCACCCCGGGGTTTATCCGAAAGTACTTGTACTTATCATCTGTACGGTTGTACAACATGAGGAGGAAATCAATAAAAACGATCCCCTCAAAAATACAATCAATGCTCTCTCAAGTCGTGTTTTACTTGTCGCATTGTCTAGTGTTTATCAAAGAGCCGTGCATCAATTCTGCCGGTATGGCGGTATGGCGGTATGCTATCGTGTGGTGCACTGACTTGTGGGACCTCTAACGCAACTAACCTGAGGAAGCAGCTTCTTAGGCTGTCGCAGCAGGGAACGGCAGAAAAAATCAGCGGTAAGAGTAAGTTCGCTCTTTGCAAAACATGTTTTATGTCGGGGAGGTGATCTGGATGGCGGGAAGCTCTTATCGTAACTTAGTATTAAGTACTTGCCAGTTCCGGGATCATGGCAACGAAAAGATCATCCTCACTGGTCAGACTCTGTTTTTTAAGTGCCAGAAAATCCGCCCTATGGCACAATCTATTATGTTACGAAAGGGACGCAAATCGGCTTTGGAGCCACATTACACGTTGAGCTGTTTCCATCAGGACATGTTATAAAATACCCAAGGCCCAACCCATACAATACTACAGAAGAAAACAATCATTGAAGGGACGAGAGAACATAAGCCGAGGAGCCTTATCACGAGCTGCCAGAGGGAGATGTGGAAAAGCTCTGTTCCAGGAAAAGAAACTTCCCCAAGTTTCCCACTTGGCCTGTGGAGCTGTGATCCAAGGCTGCTGGGATGGGAGCGTTGAAACCGCAGAAAAATTCGTCGATAGTTTGACTGCCTTGTATACCACGACAACAGACACAGCTCCAATTGGCGAATAAGGCGTAAACTAGCACAAATGCTACCGAAACAATGACCATCACAGTCAACTTTTCTGTTATCTCATTGCTTCCAATTGCTGTCCAATAGAGTCGCCAAGGTAAAGCCCGCATTGGGAAAAGATCAACGCTGTGCGCAAACTTGTTCGCTATTGCATCTTGCATACTGGTACATGGGTACGTACCCCAAGAAACTAACTACCTTTCTGCAGCAATGGAAATTGACAGCCCCCCCCCCCCAAACCAGGGGGTCCTATTAGGCTATTATTAGTGAATCGCATCAGAGTCTCGACGATGCCTCTCCTGACTCTCACAAACTGCGCCACCGTCACGAAAAGCGCGCCCAGAACATGAGCTCCGCCGCCATCGGGTGCGATGCGAAATGACATATTTACCCTTTTCCGCACACAGCGCACCGAATCGCTCTTTGTGAAAATGGTTTGCAGCCCGTGAAAGTGCTTGAAGCTCTTGGAGAGTAGGATCCCGATGCCTCCGTTGGAGTGGGTTCAAGTAAGTCATGTCCAGCTGGATCTTTCTCGCGCCGATGAGGTCTTTGCCCCCCCCCCCCCCCACCAGGGCTTGTCGCTTTTCAATTTTTCCATGTTGGTGTCGGTGGTCGAGCCGTCAAATCTACTTGGTATATCCATGTAATTGAGAAGGAATGATTCTGCCTGCTGTTTAGTTCGAGTGAGGGCATATGTATCCTCCTTTAGCGACCACAGCCAATCTATCTATTCTCCGTATCATGCATGCCAACTCCCAGGTTCGCAGGTTCATTACAACTTTTCTTCTCACTCACCCCCGCAATTTGAGTGTCAGACGTCCGCGGCCCAGGTCTCTCGGGGTACTTTGAGCCGAGGAGATAACAGTCAGGCTCCGCCATAATAAGGCGCAGGTCTTTGGTTGTGCAGGGTCAAGTGAGACTCTACGCCTTGGCATCCAACTATTTCCCCAAATCCACAACCCCATCTCCTACCGAGCTACTGAGAAGAAGCCACGTTTCTTTCCATAGTCACGAGGAACCTTTTCAGGAACCTTTTACACCCAATAACGAAAGAAGATACCCTTCTCGAATATTTACCCCATCTGCCCTAAAGCATTGCGGCATCGGAGCAGCCTGCACCATCCATCCCGCTTCGCCCATCTCCGCCCCCGGCCATCTGTCTTTCTGGGGTAGCCCTGTCCGACGTCCCTGCCTCTGCATATTTTACTCCAACTTTCTACTCCGTACTCCGAGCAGTGCCTTTCTTCTCCGTCCTTGCCTACCAAATTTCTTTTGTGACATCCTTGCTCCTAATAAGCTTTCCTTTTCTTCATCCGTAAATAGAGGAAAGACCCTTTCTTCACTGGAGCAGCCGCTGCATCTTTGCTGCATGGACCAGCCAATCCTGATTCCCATGTTGATTTTCTTCAAGGTCCATGCACGAGTTGCGAATACGCAGTACTCTGTACGACTGTCATGTATTGGCTCACGAGGACAGCCGTGCTTGGTAGCTCTTGGCTTGTCGCACGCAATCCTACAATTCTGCTCATGCAGCCATGGCCACTCTGGCCAAATGACTAGATAAAATGCCGATTCGTGCAAAATGATGCACTCGTCAAAAGTTCCCCATTCTGTTTGGCCCAAAAGTACCCTTGTCTGTGCATATGCAGGCAGCTACTTGCTAGCTTTGCTCGGACCATGACGCTCTCTCTGGTCTCGGTCGGGGGCCTGCTGCCGCAATTGCCTCGATCGATTACCCAAACGGGGGAATAAGTTGCAATTCGTTGTCGAGACATGGGCTTGAGCAATTTGAACGCCACCAACCCCCCATGTTTCGCCTCAACATGTCTCGGGCCCTCGCCGTCAACTTCTTTGCTCGGTTCGCCTCGGAAAGACAAAGATCGGAACCATGATGCAAAGATCAAACAAATACTTCAAATATGCATCTAGATTCGAATTTGTGCTGATACACCGAGACAGCCTTTCTCAATCCGTGTCCGTATCCTCTCATGGCCAGCTGATTATCATTGGCTCTCTGGTCATGCACGTCTTCCGCCTCCCCGCTTCTCCATGCAATCCTTGTGTCTGAGATTTGTACGCCAATATTTTTCGGCCTTTGCTTTTGCTCGTGTATGAAAGGCTCCATGTAGTTCATTCCCGCTACTGTAAAAATACAGACTTGCTGCTACCGTTCGTCAACCAGCTATGATATACTGCAGCTTCCTCAATGTATTAATCTGCGGCGGAACCATGTTCAATGCAACGTTCTTTGACTCGGCAAAATGAATTAAGAAAATGCCAGCACTCAAAGCAGGCTCCATATCTCGCTGCACGTTGTCGCCAATGTATGCCATGTCGCCAGAAGAGATGCCCAAGTGCTGAAGTACTTTGGTAAAGAGGCCGGCGGTTTTGCCTACACCAAAGTGATTGGTTGTAGCAAGAAAGTCGATATAGCTGCTAATACCAAGAGCCTCGACAGTCCTTTCTTGTGCGTCCTGTGGGCCTTCGGTTATAACAACAATCTTCTTGCCCATATGTCTGAGGTTTGACAGTAGACCTAGGGCACCACACTTGAGCTCAAGTGACGCTGATAAGGTAGCTTCATAGGTTTCCAGAAGCAAAGTCATGGAATGCGTATCATATGACAGGGAAAAGTGCTCCAAAACAAGAGTGAATCTCTCCTTTCGGTAGTCGAATGATGTCTTTCCATCAGCAAAGGCATTTGCTGTCTTGAGTTGGAGAATTCTGGAGTATTCTTGTTTCAGTGCCGGCATGGGGATATTATGTTGCCTAGAGATTATTGCAAGGACTTCGTTGGTTGCCATCGAAGAGGCTTTGCGAAACTCATGCAAGGTGTCGTCAAGATCAAAGCCAATCCATGCCTTTTCCAAATCGTAGTCTCGGGAACTCATCCTGCCAGCAGCGAAGATAGAGACGTCCTAAATGCTCCTCGAGCTTGTCTTTTTCGTCATTCGAAAGAAGATTGTGAGGTGGCACGTCTAGAATTACCGACGAGGTAGCCTCTGCAGTTGTAAATAAACCCAAGGCATTCTCCTTGCAGTATATGGCTTCCTCACGATCACTAGAGAAGATGAATGATGATCCAAACGGCTTCTTGAAGTCGAGCATAGTCTCGGAGAATGACACTCCCCACCGCGCGCAGATGCGCTGGACTTCGCTTTGGGGCTGCTGAACGAGTCGCTCGTAAAGTACGCACGAGAGTGCGTGCGATGGAGCTTCATCGATTATCCGGAATATATTCATGAAGCAGTCAATCAGACTCTGCGCATCTGTCCATCCAACATGCTTCCAACTGTCAAAAACCCGAATGGGGTCACGGATCAAAAAGACGGGCCGAGTCATTTTATAGATGGATGGCGTTAGACATGTGTCATACAGACATTCGCCTTTCTGACTGTTGGTTCCGAATCTCTAGTATCGACAAGTCAGGACCAAGAGAGTCTTGAGAGCTCTGGGCATTTCCCGTTAGGACGAGTGGGCTCGTGATTGCGCAATCGGAGGACTCGGCAAAGCGAAACTACACCCGCCGCACAGGTAGTATTGGATTAGCCGTAGTCGTGAGTAGTGAGGACTCGTTGGCAGGAAATACGCAACACATGCATCCAAAATTGCTTCGTCAAGCTCCTCTGGATTTGGTACCATGGTTGGGACTAGGGTCAGTCAGACAATAAGCCTCTCGGTCTCTGATCCAGTCGGCAGACGGAGAAGCAGGGTCCGCTGCTAGAGCTTGCCTGAGAACACTCTTGAAAAAGTCGTTTGTGAGACCGTGCGGTGCGCAATCTTGACACATATCCCACTCGGTGCCTGCTCTTCGGGATACCGGTGAATCCAGGAGACATCCCCCGTGACTTCGTCGAAGCGCAAGTCCGACAGAAAGTCTGTAAACGGCAACGGCTCCGCCTTGACTGTAATCAGACAACCGCAAAGCTCCTGCAAATCCTCTGCCGTATATCGATAAGATTTCCCAGTCCAAGAAAGCAAGTCATTGCAGACGGCCGAGACGAGGAGATCCATGTGCCTATATGAAAGCCAGTGATAAAACATCACTGCGTGCGGGTGCCGTACGCAGCCCTCAAAGACTCTTGGCCAGGGATTTATGGACAGCTACTTGGCAGGTAGCATTAAAAGCGGAGAGAGACTAGAGGCTACTTTCTAACATGATACATGGGCCGCAGAGAGATGTGTGACATTAGAATCAATAAGCTAAGTCTCACTGGCCGATCGCCGTTGTTATTGCTATACTTCCTAGACCATTTGCTGCTGTGTTTGATTAATGCAAACCTGAGCTGGGAGACTAACCACTGGCCAAACCCGTCAACTATCCTTATCAATCCCTGCGCGCATCTGTTGGTCGTTCCTGAAATCCTTAGGTGTTCGCCTAATGGGCAGCGGATAGATTTTGTCCTAGAAACTCGGCTTAATACTTCTGTTGTATATATTTCCTAGTAACTAGAACATACCATGTCAATACGAGTTGGAAAGCAATTGTCGTTCGTTGAGCTGCAGTCATAGTGTCGATGTTGCCGGCGCACCAGAGACGGCGGTAATGTCGTGCGTTGGTCGCCCCCGTCTTGTAACCAGCGTCCTTTATGAACTGCAGATGGGATCTCTTCTCTTGTCGCGTGAACCCATCTAGTGGTCCCCTAGGTACTGGGCAGTCTTCGGGATTTATTTCTTTAGCAGCTTCCTCGATGGATTGCCAGAAAATTGTTTCCATGTATTGTGCTTGTATCTTTTTACTGTAAAATGCGGTGTGTTCCTTTTTTATCTCAGGCATAGCTTTTTCATAGGGTAGCCGCAGGACATCATTGACCTGGCGCTGGATATCGGACACTTCGGTTCTTATTGCAGTTGTGGCCCTTTGTTTTCTATACCGGCTGAGGTGGAAGTTGAAATGTAGACAACAAAGAAATATTGTGTCCATCACATGAATTTCCCTCTCGGTTTCAGAGACTGAGGGACAATGGACGGTGTCGCTGTGGTCAAGAAGAGGGGCCTCGGGCGTGCTGCCTGTGAGAGCTGTGGGTAAGTCGGTGATGGGTTCCGCCTGGCGGGCAGCAGGTTGTGATGCGCTAGCCGCTGGCGGTATCTGCGTGTTATTCACGCCTGGAGTTTCTTCGCCCTGTGCTCTTCCTGTATGCTCAGCCAACAGGCGCTCTGTATTTGTGATCTCCAAAGGCAGCTGTGTTTGGTCGGTCATTTGGCTGTATTCCGTAGCTGGCATGACCTCCTGCACAGTCTCTGCCCTATTTCTGCTAATGTCCTCTTCACCAGTGTTCTCTTCACCAGTGTCTTCTTCGCCGTTGACTTCTTCCCCATTGTTCTCTTCTTCGTTGTCTTCTTCGTTGTTGTCTTCGTCGACGCTAATCGCTGCTTCGTCCGCATCTGCATTGCTAGCCTCTTCTGAGTCACTATTAATATCCTCTTCGCTTTTCTCTGTTTTAGTAAATCCAGTAGCTTTCATATTCTTCCTGCATATGGCGCATTTTGGTCTCTTGTGTCGCGGCCGATCGTCTTGCCCTGAATAGTCTGGCCTGCCACGTTTTTTCGTGGACAGTATCCGGTTGGATCGACAGGATTTGTTTGTGGAGAGTGACACATCCTGATTCTTGAGGCAATCCGGAATACCTTTTAAGCCAGCCTCGAGTCGACTTTTATGTACTATATTGTGTTTTAGCGATGTGCACCACTCGGATTAGCTTGTGCACCACATTCAGCAATGCTCAGAATGTGCGACTTGATACTTTCCTGCCCGCTGTCGCTGACCCCACAAAGCGACAGAAAACCACACAGCTTTCGTGCTGTCAGATCCAGAATGTCTTGCTCCATGATGCTGAACGGGTTGAATCCCTCACCCTTTGTTTGCAGAGCTCAATGCTTTCACAGACGACCAACTAGCGAGGCCGTCCAACAACAGTTCTGGAGCCTTCTACGGACAACATCCTCCAGCCCAGTTACACTGGAGCCTGAGGAGTACTGCGCCCGCTGGCTCCACCATGATAAGATTAGTGGTTGAATCTCCATACACTGGCTGCTACAACTTGTGGTCATCGGCTGAACTCGTTACAGTAAACGAAACCTGCTGTGCTGCCTAGTGTCAATCCGTTGAACTGGCGGCAAAGTTAAGATGTAATCGTCCAGTGGCAGTGTGGTGAACATCTCCACCTGGCCAGGTCTTGGCTTGGTGGTAAGGCA